AAAGGCGCGGACTGCGACCGCGCCAACTAAACCCAACAGGGGAGGGGCCGGGTGGGCATTCCGCCTCGGAGGCGGATCCGGCTCCGGGCGTGACCACCACTCTCTAGCTACCCCCCCGTAGCGCCCCTGGTCTGGTCTGGCCCCGCTGGCTGGAGCTGGACTGGACATCGGTGGAGTGGATTGCTTAGGCTCCGGTGTGGAGCAGCTGACCGGTACCTGACCAGGCACCGGTGGAACAGGCACGGGCTGTGCCGGACTGACGACGCGCACCACTGGCTTGGTGCGGGGAGCAGGAACAGGCCGGGCCGGGCTGGCGACGCGCACCACAGGCTTGGTGCGGGGAGCAGGAACCGGCCGGACCGGGCTGGCGACGCGCACCACTGGCTTGGTGCAGGGAGCAGGAACAGGCCGGACCGGGCTGGCGACGCGCACCACTGGCTTGGTGCGGGGAGCAGGAACAGGCCGGACCGGGCTGGCGACGCGCACCACTGGCTTGGTGCGGGGAGCAGGAACAGGCCGGACCGGGCTGACGACGCGCACCACTGGCTTGGTGCGGGGAGCAGGAACAGGCCGGACCGGGCTGACGACGCGCACCACTGGCTTGGTGAGGGGAGCAGGAACAGGCCGGGCCGGGCTGGCGACGCGCACCACTGGCTTGGTGCGAGGGGCAGGAACAGGCCGGGCCGGGCTGGCGACGCGCACCACAGGCTTGGTGCGAGGGGCAGGAACAGTCCGGGCTGGCGACGCGCACCACTGGCTTGGTGCGAGGGGCAGGAACAGGCCGGGCCGGGCTGGCGACGCGCACCACTGGCTTGGTGCGAGGGGCAGGAACAGGCCGGGCCGGGCTGGCGACGCGCACCACAGGCTTGGTGCGGGGAGCAGGAACAGGCCGGACCGGGCTGTGGAGATGGACTGGAGGTCTGGAGCGAAGAGCTGACACAACCCGTCCTGGCTGAATGCCTATTACTACACACTCTGTGTGAGGCATCAGCACAGGACGTACAGGGCTGTGCACTCGTACTGGCACTACAGCACGTGGCACTGGCGCAGGATATTCGGGACCGAGGAGGGGTACTGGAGGCCACGAGTGTTGAGCCGGCACACTCCGTCCTGGCTGCATGCCCACCTTAGCACGACACGTGCGTGGTGCTAGCACAGGACCTACAGGACTGTGCCGGACCACTCGCGGCACAGTACGCAGCTCCGCATACCTCGGAACCTGCCCAGTCTCACGCTGCCTAGCCTGAGTACGGGGAGTTGGCTCTGCTCTACCTCTAGGCTCCGCCAACCTCCCTTCCAGCCCCCCAAACCCGGTGGCCTCCTCTTATCCACAAACTCGCCCTGTAGCTGCCTCCAGCAGCCCCGTCATCCATGCCGTGTGCCCCCCCAAAAAATGTTCTTGGGGTTGCCTCTCGCCTGTCCGACGACGACCCGGTTGGCGCCGCTTCTCCTCTCCTGCCTGGGCATCCTCCCTTATCGCCCTCCGGTAGCGGACGGCTTCCTCCTCGGTGATCTTCCCCCAACCGAGGAGGACATCCACTAGCGTTACCTCCGGCGTTTGCTCCTGGACACGCTGCTTGGTCCTTATTTGGTGGGATCTTCTGTCACGATCGTTGACAGATGAAGCGGACCAAGGCGCAGCGTGATAAGTGTACATACTTTATTGCGTACACAACACGAACCAAAACAATAAACCAAACGATACGTGAAGTCCTAGGTTATACACAAAACCTTACGGAACAAGATCCCACAAATGACAAGTGCAAAACAGGCTGCCTAAGTATGGTTCCCAATCAGAGACAACAAGCCACAGCTGCCTCTGATTGGGAACCACCCCGGCCAACATAGAAACACATGAACTAGAACATGAACATAGAACACTAAACATAGAAACTAACACTCTGGCTCAACATATAAGAGTCCCCAGAGCCAGGGCGTGACAATCAATGTTTTTACTTTTAAATTAATGATATATACCATTGATTATTGAATAATATAACTTATAAATACCTCATGAGCTTAGTTCAACTATCGTACCCCATCAGAACACAAAATATAAATGTGTTTTATTCCAATGTTTGAAAAACAAAGTAAACATAAACAAACACTATATTACCACAAAACATGGTTAAAATTATACTGTTGATATCATGATGGTCAGTCCTTGTATCCATAGCTCTGTCTATGAATTTGAGAGTGATTACATTTCTTCAGGCCCATCCCTCAGCTTTTTTACCAAAACTGAGGCGGAGTCATCACTTTGTTAGTGTTCCAATTAAGTATTCTGGCTTTAACATTTGTATTGTGTACTGTATGCATTTTCAATGCAAAATGCTTCAAATATTATAGCATTGTTTTTCGGTTTGTCCTTCTCACTCTAACCTGTGCCCAGTCATAAAATGTAGCTTATGTAGAATGGTTTTGATGTTATGATATTATTGAAGACACTGCCGATGGTTGTGAGTGTTTGGTTAATAAATTGTTTTATTTGGTTTAGGGAGGAATACCACTGCATGAGATAGCAGCACATACAGTCACAGTAGTATAGCAGAATGAACACTCAACGCTCCTGAACCACCTCGGAAACATGTGAAATGCAAGTGAAAACTATTTTTATTGTTTTGATCATGGTTAAGGCAATTTCTTCTTTTTTTTTACACTCAACAAGCAAAATCTATCCCATCCTCAGTTTAAATGCTCCAAGAATCAGGCCATGCAGTCAATGCTTGTCGATTGATTCATTTCTCAAGAAAAGGGAAAAAATAGTGAAATCTAAAACGGTTAAGGAAGGCCTTCCACAGTGTGCGCCAGTCTCAAAAAATAACATTTCACATTCTGTCAAGCTATACATTTGCCCACAGTAAGTTTACAAAAATGTTGGAGAGGACAGGTCATTTTACTGCTATATAGGATTCTAGAGTACATTGGCCAAATTCTTAGGAAATATTCCCTGTGCTCTCCATCCATTTTTATTTCTCCATTTATTATTCTTTCCCTAAACACACTTCCTGCAACACTATTCATTTTATCACTGCACATCATACATGTCTCCGTCTTTAACATTTACACCTATTCTTTAAGCCTTACATATCCACCCACACAGTCACTGTACCCTGACCCACAGATTGTCCTGATATGGATAGCTTGGCACCATAATGGAGGCTAGCCAGCCATATCAGGGCTAACTTACAATATGCTATTATGGTCCCTCTCCTGCAGCTAGGACATGTCTGCCTGTGGTATACATACTGTTGCTGTCCATCTTAGACTGCAGTGGTGGTGGTGGTGGGGGGGTATATGGTGATAATAGCCCTTATCTGTGGCGCCGCACCATGTGACCAATCATGACCCCAGTGGCGTCTGCACCGGCTGCCACCTGGTCCTGCAGTCAGAGTGGAGGGCTGTCTGTCACTCACCGTCACCCCCAGCTGTCCTGTTAGAGCAGCCACAGGCCTCTTCACTGTCTGGAACAGAGTGCACTGCTAAAAGGACACACTGGCTGCATCTCAAATGGCACTCTATTCCCTATGTAATGCATTACTTTTGACCAGCGCCATATGGGCTCTGATCAAAAGTACTGCACAATATAGGGAATAGGGTTTCATTTGAGATGCAACAACACACACTCCACCACTCAAACAAACCACTAGCCAGAAGGTCATAGGGTACAGAGCACTAGAAGACTGAAGGTATGAAACAAACAAGACTCTGGGGGAAAGGAAGGGACTAGAAAATACTTTTACCTCGGGTTTAGAGCGAGTTATCTTACTTAGAGGGCAGGGCAGGGCATATCCATTCAGTGACAAATGAATCAATCAAGAGGGGGTATTTCTACATCAAATATAAGGGTATAATGTGATAATAGTAGCATTTTAAAACTCTACATTTTTCATTCCTGAAAGGTGCCCTTCTGAACACAGAAGAGTCACTGCACAATGCACTTATCGCCTACCTTTGAAAATAGAACCCTCCCAAATAAAGTTATGATTTTATATACTTTTTTTCTAGATTCTATGTTGTCATTTGCCAAGCTCTGACCGTTGCAGTGACAGAGAGAGGGGGGAAGGTGAATGGTGAAATGTTTACTTTTCTGGTGATGAAAAGTGATGGAAAAGAAAGTGGGTCAATGGACAGAACATTCTATATATTTCTCCTGTGAATGAAGAAAAGAGGAGTGAGGAGCATTCAGTGTGCCAGTTTGTATGCAGCTCAAAATACATTATTGCACCCACGGGAAGGATCTGGATTTCTGTGTCCCCAATATTATACACTAACATTCATGAAAAAGTTTACAGAGCATTTTCTACAATGAATTTCCCTAGACGTTTCCAACTTTTTTTTGTCGAAATCAAATAGCACCTTAAAAGTTGGACTGGTAAAGGTTGATAAAGTTGTGAGCTCCAGACCTCTGTGCATATAGTAGTTTGTGTACTACTACCAGGATCCTATTATTACTTTCAAGATTACAACTGCTCTTCACCACATCTCATATCATTAATGGCACATAAAGACAGGACGTTACTGGGCGATATTATTCCTGACCTCTTAATCTGACATCATACTTGCTTTAAGGCATTCTCTTACTCACTGACTGGCTTACTATTGTAATGTTGAGCACCTTCTCTCTGCTCTCTGTTCTGTGGTAACCATCATCTATGGTGTAAAACCATGACATAGGATCCTGAGCTCCCAATTCAGGAAATGTAGCTACAGGTTTATCTTCTGTCAGGGTAATACACCAATACCATGTTCCTCTCTGTGTTGTGTCTTTCTGTTTTCCACCACACAGCTGATTGTTGAGACCCAGAGAAACAGAGGAGAAGGTATGTGTGTGTGAGGCATCTGGCGTGAGTACGGTAAGTGTATGTGTGTCTGTGTATTTGTGTGTGTGTCCCCTTGTGAAACAGAGATGAGGTGACGGGGAAGGGATAAGATCCATATGAGTGAATGAGTGGACTGTAGTAGTGCGAAAGGCATTGATGATCGATGACACAAGCAGTTTAGCTCTTGGTGCTCTTGCTGGGAGCACTTCCTTTCTCTCCCTTCTTCTCATCCTTCTCATCCTTCTTCTTTTGATCTTCCTCCTCCTCTTCCTCCTCTTCCTCCTCATCTTCGTTTCCATTCTCCTCTGCATTCTCATCTCCCTCCTCTCCCTCCTCTCCCTCCTCCTCATTCTCCTCTTCCTCTTCCTCTTCCTCCTTCTCTTCCTCATCCTCCTCCTCCTCTGGTTCCTCAGGCTTGGCTCCCCTCATCCTGTAGGGGGCGGAGGAACCCAGGGCGTAGGAGCGGCCGGACGAATAGGAGAAGCCAGAGTAGCCTGACTGCAGGATATTTCCGCCCACTGTACTCAGACGGCACTCTTCACCTTCCAACAGCTTCCTGAAGAGGGGATGGAGATGGAGAGATAGAGGAAGAGAGAGTCAGTTTACACATGTATCAAATTCCACTGCTGTGCTGACTAAGTATTCACTTTTTTTTTAAGGGGGGAAAAGGTGTTCATAAATCTTTCCAAGACACACTGTGGTGCATCAACATTGTTTTGACTGCTGAGCTGACTAAACTACTGACTAAATCAGAGAAAGAGAGAGTCAGTTTACAAATGTACCAAACTCTGAACATTCATAATTGCCAAAGCAGTCATGTGAATGTGGTCAGTCACTCTGCTGACTTGGAATTCAAATGTGAAAAAGGTGTTCAGTGTACAGGAAAGGCACTGTGGTTTGGATCAACGATATGCTGCTGATTTAACATTATCAGACCTAACTTTTAGACTCAGATCAGGGAATGACTGACCTGTAAGCAGCGATCTCAATGTCCAGGGCCATCTTGACGTTCAACAGGTCCTGGTACTCACGCAAGTGACGGGACATCTCACCCTTGGTGCTGTGGAGGGCAGACTCAAGCTGCTGGATGGTCTCCTGCAGGCAGATTAACATCAGGATGTGTTACTAATGATAAAGACCTCACTATTCTACCTCACAATGTACATTACCTAATACCTTTTTACATGTGTTGTGCTATAGTGCTATTTCAACATCATCACACATACCATCTGTCATATGCACCTGTTACTTAGAAGGACATAATTCTACAGAATCCACAGGGTAAAGCCCTGTACTGTAGCAATTACTGTGGTGTACAGAAATAGTCACCTTGTCCTACTCCACATACCTGCATCTCTCCCATCTCATTGCTGTGGCGGTCCTCCATCTCAGCCATCTGCCTCTCCAAGGCCTCATTGTGGCCCCTGAGGGCCTCGATCTCCAGGGTACGGGCCTGCACCTGCCTGCGGTACTCATTTAGCTCCTCCCTGCTATGCTTCACCTGGTCCTGGTTGCGGGCGGCCGCCTCATTCACACTGGCGAACTTGGAGCGGTACCACTCCTCAGCCTGGTTCTGGTTCTTGGCTGACAGGACCTCGTACTGGGCACGGATGTCCTTCAGGGCCACGGCCAGGTCAGGTTTACCCTCCCTCAGGTCCATCTCCACTGACACCTGGGACCAGATAGACACAGAGGGACAGACGGGTAAGTTAAAGGGTTGGACATGATTACCAGGTGTTGGCACCGGTGAAGAGAATGCTTCACTGGCTAAATAGATACATCTCTAAGTTGTAGTGGAGATTCGAATATGAGAATGTTTGCTTGATTATTCGTTATTATATTATTATTTTCGTAAAAATCCAAATGTAAATGTGAAGAATCATAATAAATCAAAACCACAATTGTTGCAACATCTAGTTTTTCCAAATCTTTTTGTTGTCCTTTAACCAAAATATAGGTAAAAGTGATAATCACTATTGAAAATGTGAAATCTTTGTCAAACCACAAAGACCACTATGTGCTTACAGTAGACACCTGAGAGCTATGAGCCTTGGGCTAATGTGACTTTTACAGTCACTTTTACCCCTACCTACCTACCTTTACATATTACCTCAATTACCTCAACTACCTTGTACCCCTGCACATTGACCTGGTACCAGTACTCCTTGTATATAGCCTCGTTACTGTTATTTTATTGTGTTACTATTTCCCTTTTTATTTGATTTTTTACTTGCTAATCTTTTCTTACTTTTTTTACTCTGCATTGCTGGGAAAGGGCTCGTAAGCAAGCATTTCACAGTAAATTCTACACCTGTTGTATTCGGTGCATGCGACAAATAACATTTGATTTGATTTGAATACATTTTAATTGATTATCTATCCAGTGAGGTAGAATGGTGAGGGCTGATGTATCGAGCACTGAGTCAGGGCTCTCTCTGTGCACCACTATGGGTGGTGCTGTCAATCGCTTACATCGCAATTATACTGTATGTCATGCATGGCAAATGAAAAGCCCCATGGAGGAAACAAACGATTAATGCTCTTTCCAATTATTAAGATTCTATGTTGTATCAATTGACATTAAATTGTACATCATACTTATTTTTATTTAAAGAAAAGTCTTTAGAGTACTATCACCTTATCCAATGACGCATCAAAAATGCCACTGGCTTCTGAAACACTGTATAAAGCTACAATAACGTTGTTTAATTGTGACCTTGATTAATGATTATATTATTCCAACTAATCTTGTGTGGGACAACATGAATCAATACCATGTTGACAACATCTACGCTATGTGCCAGTAGTAACCTATAGAAAGAAAAAAAACTTTTTCCCAATCCTGTAAAATTAATTTACAAAGTGTGATAGTTGATCATCATGAGATTGTCTAGGTAAAATGCAACAAGGGCATGCACTGATCGATCTGTATCGAGTTTTCTGATGTTCTGAATTGACCCTGTCCCATCCTGTCCTGTCCTATCCTGCATGATAGGACGACCACACCTAGATATTGCGCTACTATTTCTCTGCATCATCAGTGACAGCGCCAGCACTGCTATCAACCCCAATGCTCCCCCTCTCTCTCCCTCCCCCTCTCGATCTCCCTCCCTTTCCCTCTCTATCTTTTTAGCACACTCTCTCTTGCGCTTGACACTGTATAATACTTTCTCAATATGCACAGACTCCATTTTCAGTAGCCATTTAAACCATTTCAATTATATTTTATAGTTATAAAACTTCCCTCATAGTTTCTATAGTTAGTGCCCTATGTCAGTGCTGGGTTTGGGGCACTGCAGATAAATTGGCAGACAGGGGAGGGAGTACTGCATGGTGCTGTTTTACGCAGAATCGCAGTGCCGTACATTTTACTGCCACTAATCGCAGTGCGCAATGTTCACTGGCTTCAGCACCATGGACAGCGTATGTGCGTTTAAACAGGCAGCCCAATTCTGATATTTTTGTCCCAGTAATTGGTCTTTTGACCAATCACATCAGATCTTTTCACATCAGATCTTTTTCAGAACTGATCTGATTGGACAAAAGACCAATTAGTGAAAAAATGGTCAGAATTGGGCTGCCAGTGTAAATGAAGCCTTATTTGACTCGGTGAATGTGGATCCACAGTGAATGTGAATGATAAGATAGCCATATGATAACACTCTATGAACATTATTAGCTATCTGGCACTGGTTATCACCATGTCACATAAAGGTTATCAGCAATTCATAGGCTACATAGCCTAAGTTTTCCCTTGGTGTATATTTGGTGTGATATGTGCGGAGATGGGGAGATGTGAGTGACAACTGATGGAGGTCATGAGGGGTGATGTGATGTCCGCACCTGTGTGGCTTGCAGGGAAGCCTGCAGCTCCTGCAGCTCCTCCTCGTGCACTTTCCTGAGGAAGGCGATCTCATCCAGCAGCGACTCGACTTTCTTCTCCAGCTCGAGCCGGGACATCGTGGCGTCATCCACGTCCTTGCGGTAGCTTATCAGGGTGCCCTCCGCCTCCTCGCGGAGCCTCGTCTCCTCGTCCAGCTTCTGCCTAACGCGGTCCAGCGTCTCGTTCATCTGCACGCAGTCCAGGTGCATCTGGCTCTTCTCGTGAGTCAGTTCCTCGACGCGCGCCCTCAGCTCGCGGATCTCCTGCTCGTACAGGTCGTGCAGTCGGGAGGGCTCGGTGTGGCGCTGGCGCAGCATGGTCACCTCGGCTTCGAGCACCTTGTTCTGCTGTTCCAAGTTGTGGACCTTCTCGATGAAGGAGACGAAGCGGTCGTTCAGGCCCTGGAGCTGCTCCTTCTCGTTGGTGCGGATGATTTTCATCTCGTTGGTGACGGCCGTGGACTGGTTCAGGTCCATGGAGTCGGACATGGAGGAGTGGAAGTTGCGCCCGGCGCCCACCTTGCGGTAGCCGGAGGATGTGAGCATGGATGGGGAGCCATAGTTGCGGTGTGCGCCGCTGGAGCGGAATCCGCTGGACAGGCGAGAGGGGCTGCTGCCTACGGTCATGCGGCCGGAGCTCCGGGGCGCATCCCCGAAGATCTTCCGATAGGAACTACTGGAGTAGACATCGCCGGAGTAACTCATGTTTGCAGTTGGAGAAGTGGAATGCTAGTTAGACCTTTGCTGCTTGTGAGAGTGTGTGGAGTGTGGGAGTGTGAGAGAAAGAAAGAGAGAAAGTGAGACGCAATTGATGTCTGGCCAAGACAGGTGCTTTTATAGAGATGGAACTCCAGCATCATTTGACGCAAGCGCGGCAGTAGAGACAGGGAAACCTGCAAGCTCCTGCAAAAATAGCTATTCTCAGGGGAACACGAATTCACTCATGCTGCTCCTTGCCTTGTATTTTGGCAACTCATTATTTTCTTGAATAAAATGTAATCCGTGCTGTACAGATAAGACAAGATAGACCAATGGTCAAGGAGAGCACATATAGGGACGTCTAAATAGTCAATAATAATGAGGCCAATAAATAAGAATACTAACAACAATAGTAGGCCTACTAATATCCTAATGATAATGATGATATATAGGGATCGAAGTGAAAAACGACTTCACTATTATATGCTTATATTGAGGCTAACATATAATTTGCCTAATTAACATAGCCTAGCCTCTTTTTTATGTCGTTTTGTGAAACTAGTCACATGTGCAGGTTATCCGATCCCACTAAACAATGTCATTGCAGTTTTGCACTGCTGTCGCAGCAGTTCAGGTAGCATGGGATCGATGCATGTGAAGTGTGTGCCAATAGTCAGGAGTGAGTGTGTCTAAACGGTACTGCTATTTTGCAGTCTGCAGCCATGCACCCCTCACGCCCGACCACCGCAGTGTCTGAGTACAGGATGAGGCACACAGACGCAAAGGCTGTTTACATGACCCCACATGCGCACGTATCACATAAAATCAATGCCTTTCACTTACTAGCCTAACACCTATAAACAAGTTTAGCCTTCAATGAAAACATAAGCCTGTGAAATGGGCCCAGCAGACATCTTTCAGGATCCCAGACCGCTTTTGGGTGATGATTCAGCACATTAGAGAAGGTTATTGGTGGTGCGGCGCTGTCTTCTCCTCTCGCCTCGCGCAGCTGGAACTGGCATTGGTCCTGATCCAGGACACCGACCACGCCCCTATGGAGGACACCCACGCGCGCTGCTGCGCACAGAGCTGTCAGGGGACTGCAGCTTTTCTACGGTTCGATCAGCACTTCTAAACACAAGTGTAGATGTATATCAGAACAAGCATCATTATGCTCTGTACACAGCCGCAGTCTAGCCGATAATTGTAATTTGATCAGGCACCAAGTGTTGCAGTCGAATTTTTTTCTGCTCGAGGAAACGTCTCATCACGATTTGAGACCATTTGGACTCGTGTATAGCAGTGGTAGCCAAATATATATTCACATTTCACACATTCTAAACTAGTTGTTTAGTCAATTTTACTGTTGATGGGTCAGCCTTGCCCTTGAAGATTCATGAGATATCGATCTCTTGAACTATGCCTATGTGCTTTTCTAAGATAGCAGCAGATTGTAATTTGGGGTGTGTCTGACCAAGGGCATTTCATGATGGTCAAGGTATTCCCTAATCACATTTTATCCGTGTCACTGAGGCTTTACATATGTTTCAAGTTGTATTGTCACATGCACAGGATACAGCAGGTGTAAAACAGTACAGTGAAATGCTTAACTTGCAATCCACAAATGGAACCACAAATTCACAACAAATGCACCAGCAAGGTGTAATCACGGTTATTATCTGAACAGAAAATAAAATACCATCGAAAAAAGTGAAAAAAATGTATGCTGTAGATGCCTTGTTTACCATGATGTAATACAGTAACGGTAAAGTAAGTTAATGCCATTCATTTCCCAGATTCCCGTTTTAACCATAAGGGGGCAGAACATGCTCGGTAATGTCCAACATCTCCACTTTGCCTTGAGAGATACAGGCCAAGTAAACAATGGGTTAACCTTCTCTTCTCTAGTTCTACACTGATCCATCACCATTAGCAGCCAGACAGGCTGTCATTCCAGAGATCCTCATGAGAAAAAAATGTTGTCTTTATTTATTTCCTTGATACCATTCATTCATTCTCTCACAACTCTCTCCTCATAGACATTGCATTGTTTGCTTATGCCATTTATTTGAAACCTCTTCCTGTTTTATCACAGGCCCCTGATTAGACAACCTATAACTCTCTGCTCATATGCTGTCAGACACCATCACCAGACTTCAACCAAATTATCCTTGACATTCAAAACACAAACATGAGTCTCACCCACATGTAAAGAGTGAAAATACACACCTTCAGCATTCCTGCATAGTCATAGCCTACATCTCCTCTATCCATAGTCACAGCCTACATCTCCTCTATCCAAAACACCTCATCATTAGTGTGTGAGACATACACACATCCCACAAACCTTTACCTATACACACCCTGCAGCACTCCACCTGCAAGCTCAGGCCAGCCATATCCAGCAGCTCCAACAGCAGGCAGAAACAAAAGGCCCATTGAGAAACAAGAGACAGGAGATGGCTGGGAGTGACTAAGCAGGAAAATTACAGGTAGAGGTGTCACCTCTTTCTAGGCCAACACTGGTATCATACGGCCGCCCTTTCCCTTTCTCCAGTTCAGCAAGTAGCTGAACCTCTAAATGGAACTTTGTTGTACTGAAAGAGAGATACTGAAAACAACTCACTGCTTTGAATGTGTAGAGGATTTTTTCTATTGGGAAATGACATTTTTGATTCACAAACATTCACTTTGCGGTCTGTAGCAGTTCATTTTCTGTTGGGATAAATGCCTTCTTTGTATGAAAAGCAGTACTACTTTGAGAGCAATTTCCTTTGAATGCTGCACTACTGATCTACAATGTCTATAGGATACCATGCTTAGGCTCTCACTCAGTGGGCCTGTTTTTAACGTTCCTATCCCAGGTGCTTTGATTTGCCAGGTGCATATGTTGAAGTAGCTGTACCCAGACCAGCTGTCTGTTGCTGGCCAGTATCCATTCTGTTCATCTTTTTTTCTTCCCGTGTCCCTCTGGTCCCCTGAGACCCTCCTCCTCCTCATGCAGACTATCAGCTCCATCTGTCAACAAGCCCACTCACAGAACGGCCCCAACCGTACCTCCATTTTGTCTCAGTGGAGGGATGGGATGATCAGTTATGTCCCTCTTAACAGATCCATTATACAGTATTCTACTATATGTAATCACTATGAGACAGAATTCTGTCCGTATGTATTTTGTGCTGTAAATTGCTAATTAATCTTACAGAGAGAATACTTACTGAAGCTATGCGTTTTGTTTCATATGTCCGTGTTTATGTTTTAATAAGAGTGTGACTGTTGTGAATGTGAGTCTCTAAACATACAGTGAGGGAAAACATTATTTGATCCCCTGCTGATTTTGTACGTTTGCCCACTGACAAAGAAATTACCAGTCTATAATTTTAATGGTAGGTTTATTTGAAGAGTGAGAGACAGAATAACAACAACAAAAATCCAGAAAAACGCATGTCAAAAATGTTATACATTGATTTGCATTTTAATGAGGGAAATAAGTATTTGACCCCCTCTCAATCAGAAAGATTTCTGGCTCCCAGGGGTCTTTTATACAGGTAACGAGCTGAGATTAGGAGCACACTCTTAAAGGGAGTGCTCCTAATCTCAGTTTGTTACCTGTATAAAAGACACCTGTCCACAGAAGCAATCAATCAATCAGATTCCAAACTCTCCACCATGGCCAAGACCAAAGAGCTCTCCAAGGATGTCAGGGACAAGATTGTAGACCTACACAAGGATGGAATGGGCTACAAGACCATCGCCAAGCAGCTTGGTGAGAAGGTGACAACAGTTGGTGCGATTATTCTCAAATGGAAGAAACACAAAAGACCTGTCAATCTCCCTCGGCCTGGGGCTCCATGCAAGATCTCACCTCGTGGAGTTGCAATGATCATGAGAACGGTGAGAAATCAGCCCAGAACTACACGGGAGGATCTTGTCAATGATCTCAAGGCAGCTGGGACCATAGTCACCAAGAAAACAATTGGTAACACACTATGCCGTGAAGGACTGAAATCCTGCAGCGCCCGCATGGTCCCCCTGCTCAAGAAAGCACATATACAGGGCCGTCTGAAGTTTGCCAATGAACATCTGAATGATTCAGAGGAGAACTGGGTGAAAGTGTTGTGGTCAGATGAGACCAAAATCGAGCTCTTTGGCATCAACTCAACTCGCTGTGTTTGGAGGAGGAGGAATGCTGCCTATGACCCCAAGGACACCATCCCCACCATCAAACATGGAGGTGGAAACATTATGCTTTGGGGGTGTTTTTCTGCTAAGGGGACAGGACAACTTCACTGCATCAAAGGGACGATGGACGGGGCCATGTACCGTCAAATCTTGGGTGAGAACCTCCTTCCCTCAGCCAGGGCATTGAAAATGGGTCGTGGATGTGTATTCCTGCATGACAATGACCCAAAACACACGGCCAAGGCAACAAAGGAGTGGCTCAAGAAGAAGCACATTAAGGTCCTGGAGTGGCCTAGCCAGTCTCCAGACCTTAATCCCATAGAAAATCTGTGGAGGGAGCTGAAGGTTCGAGTTGCCAAAAGTCAGCCTCGAAACCTTAATGACTTGGAGAAGATCTGCAAAGAGGAGTGGGACAAAATCCCTCCTGAGATGTGTGCAAACCTGGTGGCCAACTACAAGAAACGTCTGACCTCTGTGATTGCCAACAAGGGTTTTGCCACCAAGTACTAAGTCATGTTTTGCAGAGGGGTCAAATACTTATTTCCCTAATTAAAATGCAAATCAATTTATAACATTTTTGACATGCGTTTTTCTGGATTTTTTTGTTGTTATTCTGTCTCTCACTGTTCAAATAAACCTACCATTAAAATTATAGACTGATAATGTCTTTGTCAGTGGGCAAACGTACAAAATCAGCAGGGGATCAAATACTTTTTTCCCTCACTGTATTAGGTAGAATATCAATAGCAAGCATGTGCAGTGGTCAACGATTTGAACTCTATATGTTTTCTCCTATGAACCAGCCACCGTTCTTTCTAGCCTGA